ATCCTAAAACAACTCTATAATTAAGTATTTATAGACTTCTAGTGATACGTACATTCATTACATAACTATTCGCATGTTGATGTTTCCATACCTAGTCATTTTTTTACTTTCAACTTGCTTAGATAGCTGAGTTTTTTATATGTTTTATAGGGTGGAGGAGTTGCTGCAAAGAAGGGAGTTATCGCAGCACCAAGACTAATTAGCTCTACAGAGCTTGAGTAATATGCATTCTCCATTTGTTACGATTAATATAATAGGTTGCAAGTACTTGACAATTTTTCCTTAATTAAACTGCAGAGACTTTCGGCCCCTCATACAATACCGGAAGGATCGGGATACAAACCTAATGTTAGAAATTCTCGACGGAAAGATGCTGAAGGATGGTTATTTATACAAAAAAGTGGGCACTGATTCATTGAGCTATTGGGGTGTAATGCCTACTGAAGCTGAACTCCTGAAGTTTGAACCTTCTAAAAGTGATGGACCCCAGGATGTAGAGTGGCTTACCCAGCTTTACGGTGACCGGAAGAAAAAGAGAATTATAAATGATTTCAAGGTTGGTCAGAAAGGAGGTGAGAAAGGAGAGGGTTCTTCAAGCTCTAGCATGGAAAACAATTTTGAAGTAGATGATCTTGTATTTTTTGGGTAGGTTTGTCTCTTACTGTTTATCAATTTGGAATCTGCACCCTGTACTCTGTCATTTTTGTTTAATCTTTTTTCTATGCTATTACAGTAGGAATGATTTTGGCATTATTATTGGCAAGGAGAAAGATGATAGCTTTAAGGTATATGCAAGTCTATTAGCTTTATTTTTCTTTGGGTGAATGATGTCTTATTTAAAGCGATTATTTTTCAGATCATGAAAGATGGTTCAGAGAGACCTGTGGTAGTGAGCATTCAACTGCGTGAGTTGAAGCGTGCATCTTTTGATAGGAAGCTATTCACCGTGAAAGATCAGCTAACCAATACCATCTCAGTTGGTGATATGGTTAGAGTTTTGGATGGTCCCTTGAAGGTTTGACTGTTATTCATCTTTTATTTTTTCTTTGTTTGATCATGATAGTATCCGCGTCAGCTTGTACGTACCTTGACTAATCCACCGATGACTTGCTATTTCCTTCCACTGCCCATCAAAGGTTAGGTAGATATGAATAATTCACTAGTGTTTCTGCTGGCATTTGAAACCTTGGTTCCCAAGGTTTTTACTCCAGCTGTTTGACCGCTAGGTCACCCCTTGGAACGTTTGACTGTTTTTCATGGAAGCAGTAACATCTTTTTATCTGTTAATTAGTCTTCTGAAATGATGTAATGTAGGGTTAATAAATGCAGGATAGACAAGGAATTGTTAAGCAGATCTATAAAGGAGTCGTCTTTCTATATGACCAAAGTGAGCAGGATAATAGTGGTTATCTCTGTGTCAAAGGTCAGATGTGTGAAAAAATTACAGGCAGTGATGGTGTATCAAATGAGAAGGTTTGTACATTTTGGGGCATATTAGAACTAACCGTATTCTTATGATACCCATATTTGTTCCCCTAATTTTTTTGTGCTTATTCTATTTAATCAGGGTAGTGAGCCTGGTCCCTCAGGTTTTGCAGATTTCTCGTCATCCCCTAAATCCCCTCTTTCGCCTGAGAAATCTTGGAGAGCGAAGGATGATAACTGCAGCTGTATGTTTTTTATTAGTCTGCTCTTAGATCCCCTCTTTCTATTTGATGTCTCGAATCAAGGCACTGCTCCCAATTCAAATATTTATTCCTCTAACTTCTGGTTCTTTTTCCTCAAACAGTCAAGCACGATGATAAAGATGGAATGTTTTCCGTTGGTCAGTCTCTAAGAATCCGAGTGGGGCCTTTGAAGGGATATCTTTGTCGTGTAGTAGCCATTCGACGTTCTGATGTTACAGTAAAGCTTGATTCCCGGCAAAAAATTCTTACAGGTTTGTACATTTCCTTGCATCGTCTTTTAATGTTATATGGGAAATTGTCACTAAACATTCTGTCATTGTAGTTAAATCTGAACACCTGGCAGAAGTTCATGGAAAGAGTTCTATCACGTCTCTTGGGTACAATTTCTTTACCTGAATAAATTGAAGGAGAAGCATTCAATTACTTTTTTTCACTTTGATTTCTTTTAATTTTCTCTTTACTTTCAACAATAGGGTCGATGGTGATTCTGCAAAACCTTTTGACCTGCTTGGAACACAGGATGGTTCTCAAGGTAGGAAGCATTTTGCTCCTTCACTGGATGAGTAAAAGTAATTTTATTCCAGAGAGACAAAACCAAATAGGTGCAGCTACATACAAAACAAAAGCTCTAGTGACTGAGGAATTCAAGTAAAGAGTTGACATCATACATCTGCCATCTTTCACCAAAAGTGAAAAGATATAATCACGAGTTTCTAAGTTTATGTATAGAGTTAACTAAGCCTTCAAAGCATCTTCTGTTCCCTTCCACCCAACTGGTCCAAAATGCATACAGGGATGGTCATTTATGTCTTCCACTTCTCTTGTGCAATCTTCTTCCATTTCTGCAACATAGTAGTTCCTCGACTGTCTTTGGCATTGCCCTCTTTTGATTGTATAAGCTGAGAAACATGCACCACAACTTTCTGGCCGCCTGACAGTGTATAAAGAGGTGATTCACTTCTTCCTCATTTTCTCACACGTGGAGCTTCTGCTGCACAACACCATTCCGGGCCCTTGTAATTTTGATCGTGTCAAACATGCTCATGTGCAGTTATCCAACAAAAATTGCCCACCTTAACTGATGCTTTGCTCTTCCAGATTATCTACCAAGGCCACTGCATAACAGTATTCTGCCTGTTGCACAAATTTCTATATCCAGACTTGACGGTGTATTTTGATCCCTTTGATATTCTCATTACTCATTTCACTGCATCTTCTTCCTCTAGACATATTCTGGCCCCTTCTATTTTCCCAGCAGATTGGTGACTTTCCCTATTCCCAATCTTCACAGTTTCTCCTAAAAGATAATTCCCATCCTCTTTGTGATGTTGTGCCGCTGTTGCTTTAGTATTTACTGCCAAATTATATTGGGGGATATCTTTTGCCAAATTTTTACCCTCATGCCATTACCCATTGTGAAGTGTATGTTTTTTTTTAATAATCATCTCAGATGTTTCAAATGTGCTTCCACAAGCCCACTCCATGAGCATGTCTGTCAATTATAACCTGTTTCCCTATGTGAAATTTATTACTGCTGTGGAACATACCCTTCTACATGGATGTATCTGATTGCAGAGTCTTCTTTTGTTTTTTTTAATATGTATTTTTGCGTTTTAGTTTTCTTTTTATATTGGTTGTCTCTCTTGCTATTTAATGTCAAATTTTCTGTAGATCCATACTTCTCCTTTCATAAGTATAGAGTCTGTACTTTTATCCTTTTTTGTTCTTCACTTCGTTGGAACTACTCTTTCCTTAAAAGGCAGTACTATCCACAGTACAATTAATTGATTAGTGTCGAGTAGTGCAGTTGATGAGATTCAGCCTAACTAACAAATTTATCAATGTTTAAGGTTGTGACTTATCGTTCTACTTCTTTTATCTTTTTGGCAGATTGGATGGTTCAAGGGGCCACAGAAACTGAGGGTAACACCGAGAATGCAGGAGCATCATCCTCTGCTGAAAGGTTAAAAATCATTGCTAATATTATTGTCCGTTTTCCTGTTCTTACATCTTGAAGTAGTATCTATGTAGAAAGGTATTTCTATTTCTTACTTTTTAAAAGTTGATTCATGTACCTGTTAATCACTGTATGGCAAAGTGTCTAAAGATGGTGATGCTTGCATCTGCTTTCCATACTTGAAAAGTACTAAAAACAAGGAGCTAAAATAATGCCTATCTTTTAGGAAGGGTTAAATTGTCTACTTATTTTCTTGGTATAGTAAAAGAGTTATCAAGAAAAGATCTAGTTCAAAACTTAAAAATCGTTGCTCATATTTACTGCTTTGTTTTCCTGAAAGGTTCGAAGTTGCTACTATATTTACTTTTTGTTTTCCTGTTCATACATCTCTAAGTAGTATCTATGTAGAACAGTATATCCATTTCTTGCTTCTGTAGATGTTGATTCATGCATCTGTTATTTCATCTCTAAGATTGAAATGCGTGCCATCTGCGTTCCATACTTGTAAAAAGAAAGAAGCTAAAATCATGTGTTATTTGGGAAGGGATTATTTGCCGCTTATTTTTCTTGTTATGCTAAAAGTATTGTTATGAAGAGTTTAATTCAAATCTTCACTAGTTCTGTCCTATGGATTTTTTTTTTTTTTGATGAAGTAAGGATGATTCATTGATAGGCATCAAGAAGATGCAAAAGGTACAAAAAGGTAGATAATCACTCCAGTACAAAAATCTATGCTAAGAACAAGGAGCTAATGAAATCCACAAGGTGATCTTCACTAGTTACAGGGGAAAGATAAATCCAGCTAAATAGATAACTAAGCAAATAGTCTTGAGGGAGTAGATTGGAGTTGAGATGCCATCAAAACACCTCTGATTTCTTTCTGTCCGGATACACCAATAAATTACTGCTGGAACCATTCTCCAGATCCTCTTGATGGATTCTAGACCAAAAATTGAGAAGAAGAGATTCCAGATTTCACTTGCAACTGCGCAATAGAGGAAAAGATGATTGACACTTTCTGAATTTTGTTGACACATGTAACATCTGTTAACAAGTATAATGTTCCTCTTTCTAAAGTTGTATTGAGTGAGTCAATACCCCCTTTATAGCTAGCCAGGTGAAGTAATTCACCTTGGTAGGCACCTTAGTTCTCCAGATATGTTTCCAAGGCCAGCTATCTATCATACCATTCTGGGAACAAAAGTGTTTGTAACCATCTTGGACTGTGTATTTGCCCCCCTTAGAGTGTTCCCATCTGAGTTTGTCTGGCTGCTGATCATCACTGATGTGGTCTTCTAAAGAGTGGAACATAGTTAGTAGGTCACTAATCTCCCAGTCCTGTAGGTTCCTTCTGAACAGGGGGCACCATGTGCCATTTTCTTTGTTCTGAGCAACAGTGGATTCCTTGTTGAGTGCAATCTGGTATAGATTGGGATATATATCCATCAGTGCATTATCTCCATGCCACCTGTCTTTCCAGAATTTAACATGATCTCCTTTCCCAACCTTGAAGGTTATATTTTGAAAGAACTCATCCGAGTGCTTGCTGATATTCTTCCATAGGCCAACTCCATAAGGAGTGTTTATTTTCTTTGTACACCAGTGATTATGTTGCCCATACTTAGCATCAATGAAACAAGGAGGTGGTGTTTTCTCTATCATCTTAAAAGTTTTAAAAACTCATATTTATCAGCTCACGTACTTTAGAAACATATTCACTGGACAGGTTATGAAAAGCTTGATAGGTTGCAGGTTTTTTTGCTTTTGGGGGGGTTGAGGTTACGAAGGAATGGGGGAAGACAGAGAAGAGTAACGAAAAAAATAGGCATACGAGGCACTAGCATGAGTGAAGGCGCTAATATCAAAAGGATAAAACTAACAATTACTTGGATATCCAAACTCACACTATTAGTATCAAACTTGATTCTGCCTCCTTCAATATCGTATGAGATTTGTGCTTAAGACTGTATGTCTTCTGCTCCATTATCTCCATTTGGCTTCTTAAGAAAAGCTCTAATTCATGCTGTTTTACATATTATGCAACTACTCTTCAGTCTTACACCCGCCATTTCCGCGGTATGAATTTTGTGATTTAGTGTTGCTTATAAGGCGCTGCAGATTTTACTTCTTTTGATTTCATTTGACACTGAAAAGATGGGTGTTTTTTTTTTCCTACCATTATTTTTGAATATTGTTGATACTCAATAGGACCTGATATAGGTAAAAATTTTGTGCAGAAGTTCTTGGCCTGCCTTTCCTGCTGTTGCTGGCTCTGGGCAAGATGATGGCTGGACAAAACCTGATGGTTGGGCGAAAGGTACTTCTACTGCTGGCGCTACTAGTGCTGTGTCTGACGGCTGGGGCAAAAAGGTTGAATCACATCAAGAGAGCACCGAGAAGGTTATGGATGATCCCTGGGGATCTGTGCAAAAACAAGAGAAAAATGATGATTCGGGCAGAACCTCATGGAGCAAGCAGGATGCTGGATCTTCTTGGGGTAAGCAATCTGATGCAGATCCAGAGACTGACTGGAAAAAGCAAGATGGTGGAGCGAACAAGACAGATAGAAAAACCTCTTGGAGCCAGCAGGACGCTGGAAGTGATGGTGGATCCTCTTGGGGTGCGCAAGCGGGAGTATCTTCTTGGGGTAAGCAATCTGATGCAAATGCAGAGACTGGCTGGAAAAAGCAAGACGGTGTATCAAATAAGACAGATAGCAAAACCTCGTGGAGCCAGCAGGGTGCTGGATCTTCTTGGAAGAAAAGTGATGGTGAAGGTGGATCCTCTTGGACTAAACAATCTGATGCCACTGCAGAGACTGACTGGAAAAAGAAAAATGATGGATCTGGCTGGAAAAAGCCAGATAGCAATGCTTCGTGGAGCCAGCAAGATGCTGGATTTTCTTCGAAGAAAAGTGAAGGTGAAGGTGGTTCTTGGAGTAAGCAATCTGATGCAAAGGCAGAGAATGACTGGAAAAAGCAAGATGGTGGATCTAGTAGCTGGGGTGGTGGTACGGACCTAGAGGGGAGCTGGGGAAAGCCAAGACAATTTGATGGAGGTCGTGGATCAGGTGGCAGGAGAGGACGAGGTGGTTGGCGAGGGGGTCGAGATCAAAGTGGTAGAGGAAGATCTTTTAATCAAGGACAGTCTAGTAGCTGGACTACTGAAGGTGAAGGCAATAATAATTCTAGTAATGTAGAATTTAAGGGGAACCAGTCTAGTTGGAATAGTTCGCAGGNACAGGAACTTGGTTGGGGAAAAGTTAATGATGACACCAGTATTGCTGGTAATCGATCATCTGATTTTCAGAGTGGTGGTGGTTGGAATGCCTCCAAACCATCAAATGAAGGATGGTCTTCTGGTTGGAATAAGAATTCAGCCTCAAAGGAGGTAGGAGGTTCTAGTGGAAACCAGTCTGATTGGGACAAAAGATCTGGTGAATCTGGGAGCAAGCAGTCAGCTGGTTGGGACAATAAGATCACTCAGAAAGAGGCAGCAGGAAACTCCTCTGCCTGGAATAGCAAAGCTGCAGTCGATAATGAAGACACCAGTATTGCTGGTAATCAATCATCTGATTTCCAGAGTGGTGGTGGTTGGAATGCCTCCAAACCATCAAACGAAGGATGGTCTTCTGGTTGGAACAAGAATTCAGTCTCAAAGGAGGTAGGAGGTCCTAGTGGAAACCAGTCTGATTGGGACAAAAAATCTGGTGAATCTGGGAGCAAGCAGTCAGCTGGTTGGGATAACAAGATCACTCATAAAGAGTCAGCAGGAAACTCCTCTGCATGGAATAGCAAATCTGCAGTCGAACAAGATGCCAATGGGAAAAATCAAAATGATCCATGGAGTGGTAAAAGAACTTCAGATGGAGGTTCATCTACAGGATGGGGTCAAAGTAATTTGTGGAAGAGCGGAAAGGATGATGCCGTTGGAAATCAAGATTCCTGGAGCAGCAAAAGTAACTGGAATTCTGGCAGTGGTTTTGGTAACAACGACCAGCAATCTGATTCTTATGGTGACCGGGGAAGAGGTGGTAGTTGGAGGGGAGGCCGTGATGGATCAGATCGAGGTGGATACGGAGGTAGGGGTGGTTCAGATCGCGGTGGCTTTGGAGGAAGGGGAGGTTTTCGAGGTAGAGGGGACAGGGGAGGTTTTAGAGGTAGAGGATCGGATGGGGGAGGATTTCGTGGTAGAGGGCATGGAAGGAGGGATGAAAGTGGTGATTGGCAAAATAGAACTGATTCGCAGGAAGATAAAGCCTACGGTTGGAGCAAAGAGTCAGGCAGTGATGCTGAGGGATTTAAGTCTAATAAGGGCAGTTGGAGTCAAGGTAACAATGACAGAGGGAGCTGGAAGACTGCTGATAGTAGAGGTAATGTTAATGATGGTGGATGGAAGAAAGGATTCGACTCCGAGAAGAATGGGAGTGGAAGTGGTACTAGTGCCACCAGTTGGAATACTCCAGGAAATAGTTGGAAAACTTCTACTGCTACTACGGGAGGTACATCTTCAGGGTGGGGTCAACAGACAACTGTTAGTGAAAAGGAGGATCAGAATGGTTTGGGAACAAGTTGGAACCAGGGGACTGCTTCAGGAAATGCGAGCACAGCTTGGACTGCAAACAAATCAAAAGAAACAAGTGATGGACCGAGTGATGCGTGGGGTAAAACAACCAGCTCTTGGGGCAAAGGAAACAGTTCTGGCAGCCAGGGAGGGGGGCAGCAGCCAACTGTTAGTGAAAAGGAGGATCAGAATGGTATGGGAATAAGCTGGAACCAGGGAACTGCTTCAGGAAATGCGAGCACAGCTTGGACTGCAAACAAATCAAAAGAAACAAGTGATGGACCGACTGATGCGTGGGGTAAAGCAACCAACTCTTGGGGCAAAGGAAACAGTTCTGGCAGTCAGGGAGGGGGTAAGCAGACAACTGTTAGTGGAAAGGAGGATCAGAATGGCATGGGAACAAGCTGGAACCAGGGAGCTGCTTCAGGAAATGCGACCACAGCTTGGACTGCAAACAAATCCAATACTGAGGATGTGAACAAATCAAAAGAAACAAGTGATGGACCGAGTGATGCGTGGGGTAAAGCAACCAACTCTTGGGGCAAAGGAAACAGTTCTGGCAGTCAGGGAGGCTGGTGACATCTTTGAACAGTAATTATTTGTACTTAAACTTGCTGATTTTATATCCTGCTCATTTAGGTCTTTATACTCAAACTTTCCTACATGGTGCATAGATTCTACTTGCAAATATTTGAGATGATAGTCTCAACTTTTTACTTTAATACTTTAAAGATAAACTATTTGAAACATCATAATGTGTCACTATATTATGCTTAATATACACGCCCTGTTGATATTATTATGTTAATATATACACGCCCTGTTGATATTATTATGTTAATATATTTTGTTTCGGCTGAATACATACGCGGCCACTTAAACTTGTCCGAATCTTTCACTTAAGACACCTATGCTAAAGCTTGTACCTATTGAACACTCGATGCTAGTTGAAAATGTGTCAAGTAGACACAAGTTGCTGATGTGGCCACTTGCATGTACCACGCCACTTAAGAGAGACTGAAGATACATAATTTCTTAATTTTTATTTTTCGAATTCTCTCTCCTTCGGTTTCTCTCTGCCACCGCCATTATACCACCACCGTAGCCACTGATGCCATCACCTCTAGCTCCTCGTTGTACCTTCGCCATGAAGTATTTTTGTAAACATTGGAGAAACAGCTCCATCTTGATAAACACACAGAACCACCATTCTTCCCTGCCAAAACAAACACCAGTCGTCCTCATTCTTTCTAAAACCAGCCTCTATCTGATTACCCCTATACAACAACTCCATAACTCCACTGTTATAGACCTATCTGCTCTTTTGCTCCACCTTCTGGGTTGCATCAATTTGAGTTATTTTTTGAATTGCTTGCCTTTTAGTTTTCGATGGGGTTGAAGGAGTGGTGCAGTGGAGTGATTCTGAAGGTGGAGGTTTTGTATTCAATGAATATAGATTTATGGGTTTACTTTTTTTTTTTTTTTGGGGGGGGGGGGGGNTAGAAAAAACGAAAGACTAATGCTTTGTGTCTGCAGGTCTGGTTTGAATGGTGGAAAGAGAGGATGTTGAAGAAATCAAAGAAGAAAGACTGGGTTTGTTGAAGAAAACGAAGAAGAATTTTGCTTTGCCTGTCTTTATTTTGTTTGTTGAGTGCCACTTCATCAGCGATTGAGTTGCACGCACTTGGTCTTTTGTCAGGTTCCGTAAGGTTCAATTGACATAATTTGAGCATGGTTCAAGTCCATGATTAAGGAAGGTCAGGAAGATAAACATCAAAGAAGAAGGTAGAAAAAACGAAAGACTAATGCTTTGTGTCTGCAGGTCTGGTTTGAATGGTGGAAAGAGAGGATGTTGAAGAAATCAAAGAAGAAAGACTGGGTTTGTTGAAGAAAACGAAGAAGAATTTTGCTTTGCCTGTCTTTATTTTGTTTGTTGAGTGCCACTTCATCAGCGATTGAGTTGCACGCACTTGGTCTTTTGTCAGGTTCCGTAAGGTTCAATTGACATAATTTGAGCATGGTTCAAGTCCATGATTAAGGAAGGTCAGGAAGATAAACATCAAAGAAGAAGGTAGAAAAAACGAAAGACTAATGCTTTGTGTCTGCAGGTCTGGTTTGAATGGTGGAAAGAGAGGATGTTGAAGAAATCAAAGAAGAAAGACTGGGTTTGTTGAAGAAAACGAAGAAGAATTTTGCTTTGCCTGTCTTTATTTTGTTTGTTGAGTGCCACTTCATCAGCGATTGAGTTGCACGCACTTGGTCTTTTGTCAGGTTCCGTAAGGTTCAATTGACATAATTTGAGCATGGTTCAAGTCCATGATTAAGGAAGGTCAGGAAGATAAACATCAAAGAAGAAGGTAGAAAAAACGAAAGACTAATGCTTTGTGTCTGCAGGTCTGGTTTGAATGGTGGAAAGAGAGGATGTTGAAGAAATCAAAGAAGAAAGACTGGGTTTGTTGAAGAAAACGAAGAAGAATTTTGCTTTGCCTGTCTTTATTTTGTTTGTTGAGTGCCACTTCATCAGCGATTGAGTTGCACGCACTTGGTCTTTTGTCAGGTTCCGTAAGGGTTCAATTGACATAATTTGAGCATGGTTCAAGTATTCAATAGGTTATGGGCTTAGTTTATGTGTCTAAATGAAAAAAATTGACCAAGTTTAAGGGGCTATATGCGGTCTTTTCTTTGTCTTTCCTTTATTTATCTTGTTTTGTCTTATTTTTTCTATTCTATTATAAGTAGCATATTTAGTCTACTTGTGGTTCTAGAAATTTTCATTTGCATTGCCAGTTTGCTGCGCCCATTTCCATCAACTTTATTGTTGTACATTCTACTTATTTTGTTTTTTTCTTTATGCAGGTTATTTTGCTATGGAGGGTCGACCGAGTTATCCATGTAAATGATCTGGTTTTTGGCTTGTAAAAAGAACTAAAGGATGGACTTGGTCTTTGGGGAAAGCATAAATGGCACTTTAGATGCTAGATGTATAAGCAATTAGACTTGAATTGCAGAATACCAACTTCTGAATGTTGGATGTTTGATAATCTCTTACTTAATTTTCACTTTAGTGCAAACCAAGGAGTAAAGCTAAAGTGAATTAATTTAAGAACAAGAAGTATAACCTAGGTTGGTGTATGGTGTTTCAACAGTTTGTGTTTGGTCCAGTACCTGTCTCTTCTAGTTGTTTTATTTACTTTTGTTTGATTACTTATTTTGGGGAATGCTAAGAGGAAAGTGATCTTGGTAAATGCATAAATGCTTAGAGCCTAGTCTGCAGAGAGCTAAATTTACAATCTTTCAGCTTACACATTGCTTAAAGGGCGTCTAAAAACATGTTGATGTCAAGTGGACCTGGAGTAAGCAATTTTGGCTAACTTTGGTTCTTTAGAAATAGAGGTTTACATTTTTACGGAAATACAATTTTTTCTAGTGTATTGGCATAGTTAATTTTGAATTCCATCTTGCTGTTATTGTTTATATGGGTTTTTGGCTTCTATTATGTTATATTAAGTCTATATGCCGAAATAGAGATCGTACTATCAAAATTTGAACACTTAACACGACCTTGTATTCTCAAGTTTTAGGGTACAACTAACTGTACGAAGAAAGCTATTCGTGAAGTACACACTTCAATATAAATAGCTTGCTATTAGAAGTAGGGTTATGCATAATTTGGCAAATACTGAATTACCGTACCAAAATCGAAAATTTTAGTATTTGGTATTTGTTATGGTATTTGGTTTAATTTTAAAAAAAATAGTATTAGGTATGGTATTTGATATTTTAAAATGAAATATCAAAATACCGATACTGTACCGAAATATATATTATATTGTCTCTAAAATTTTGCTTTCCTTTATTCTTTACGTTTATCAATTAACTCTAAGCAAGTAACAAGACGTTTCTAATGATCAAATTTATTTATTTATGTATAGTTTTTTCTCTCTGGGTTTATATTTACTGGTTTTGGACAAAAGTTTTATCAACAAACTTTTTTAGTTTTGTACTTTTAAGTAATTTAATTAAGAATATTACAATCTATGACTCTACGTACTAGTTAACATTCAAACTGAATAAACCGAAGTTACCGAACCGAATAAACCAAAACTGAAAGAAGAAAAATCGAACCATACAAAATTTAATTAGGTACGGTATTGGTATTGCATTTTAAGAAACTGAATACCGAAAATACCGAACCGAAATGTCTAAATACCGTACACCAGTGGCGGACGCACGTGATGGCAAGCGGGTTTAACTGTGTATAATACTGTGTATATGTATAAATTTCGATTAAAGCAGCGTAAATTTTGTATAAATATTTTATTTGAACCCACTAGGGCTGGCAAGTGGGCCGGTCCCGGGCCTAAACGGGCCAAGTGGGCCGGTCCAAACGGTCCCGGGCCCGGATCGGACCCAAATTAAAAGGGCCAAACGGTCCCGGGCCTAAACGGGCTTTTTCTAAGGACTGGCCCGGGACCGTTTGGTCCCGGGCTAAACGGTCCCGGGCCACGGGCTAAACGGGCTAAGTGGGCCCAATTTTTTATAAAAAATAAAAATAAAAATAAATAGATATTAGAGACAAAAGGATGTTAAAATAAATATCTAAGATATATAGATATTCGAATATATATAGTATATAAGATGTATATAAGATGTATATATAGTATATCGATATAAGATGTATATATACATTAGCTATATTCGATAAGCTATATATATACATCTTATATACAGTATAGTATATATATTAAATATATATATATAATATATATAGTATAGTAGTATATATATATTATATATACATTTAATATATATACTATACTATATATACATCTTATATATAGTANGCACTAAGTGCTCTTACTTCAAGCTCATTTAGTTGTGAAAAATCACTACTACTAGAACCTTGAGAACCCCTAAACCCCGCCCAAGTACTAAGTGCTCTTACTCCCGTAGTTATTTTAGATGATTGAGAATCAGAAGAAGAATGAGTTGGAACATTTGGTCTAGCATGATTTAATGCAACTTGATAAGTATTAAAAATAGTTTGAGCATTTATTCTAATTGAGGCTATTGTTTCCGGAAGTTGAGACAATTCCTCATCTTTAAGTGCTAAACCATTATAAACAGTTTTATACTAAAAATGAGGAACTCCTAATTTCATACAAGGATTTAACAAAGCAGAACTACCATAATTTTTGGACAAGGTTTAGGAACCTTTCTTTCTCTTAGGCCAAATTCATCGCATCTTTTAAAATATTCTCTAAGTTTACTTCTACGGTTTGAATAAAAAAGCCAGCTAAGAGCCATTTTAACCTTTTCAATTTTAATATTTAAAATTCTCATACCATCACCCACAATTAAATGGTAAGAAAAAATGAAAGAATGATGGAGTATTTATAGTTGAAAATAGAGAAAAATTGTAATTATAAAAAGTTTGGGATTAAAACAAAGTTGGGGGGTTAAATGGCTATTTTATAAATAGCCAACGGTTATTTTTGACAGTCCTACGGTTTTTTT